CTATTAACTGTGCACTAACTTTCACAGCAGCAGTGTGTGGCACACACAGGAGTTGCTGCAAGCTGGAATTAGAGCTGTTGTGAGTGGCAGGAGGGAGCTGTCTGTGCAAAACAAGCTTAGAATCCTTAAGTATGATCTAGAGTGAGTGTCTCACAAAGTATTACAGCCTCATATAAATAGTATTTAGATCATTACAAACATACTCCTTCAATTCTGCCTCAACTGAGCAGTACATTTGTTTCAATGAGCTAACATTCTATTTAAGTAATTGCAATTTTTATTACAACTTAAAAAACCACCCACAACATTCATTAGAAACTATTAAATTAACATTTAACATCAATTATTTTCTGAGCCTTATATTTTGTATTTTATCCACTCTGCTAATTTAATGCCTCATCTGCTAAGAGAAAAAGTCCTAAAACTATAGAAAATATATATAGATTTTCAAAACCAGTCAGAATAGACAAGGTGCTAAATAAGGCTTCCTTTAAATATCTGCAGAACCAAAGTTCTGGAAGCAGAGGTTTCCCTACAATCCTCACTTCCTGGTAGCTGTCTGCCTGGTTTATGAGTATCAAAAAAACCTTGAAAAGCTAACCAATAAACAGAGAATGTTTTGAAGTTTGCAACAATTGCTAAAGTATTTGCCAGAATGTGATGGGCTTATGCCTAATTAAACAGCTATTTGTTTATTCACTCACAAGAGAGTGACATTAAAGTGCATTTTAACCAACTCTTCTAAAAAATGACAAATAACCCCAGCTTATCACTCAAGCTGCTGTCAGCTACAACCAGAAAAAAAGAGCCATCAAAGACAAATGTAAAATAAATTAGAAGCATTAACTGAGATCCTGATCAGCTAATGCTTGGCACAATTTGAACTAAAGACAAATTTGACTAAGAGCTTTCTATTAAGTGTAAGAACAATGGAAGAGGAAAACAAAACCAAGACCCACACAAAAACAGAAGACAAAAGAAATCTGAAATGGGTCAAGGCAGTCATTAGACCCTTCAGGCAGAATATAAGTAACAGCCATTATGAACATGAGCATCACACAGACAATTCTTAGCTTGCACACTGAAACAGAAGTGTTGGTATCCACTACTGACCATGCTTCTTTCTGAAGACTAAATGCATTTACACACCAGTTATTTAATGACTTAATATAAACCTAGCCAATATATTTTTTATGGACAAATACTTCCTAGGTGCAGACAGGAACTCAGAAGCAATTGAGTGCTGCTGTATGACAAATAGGCCTGAATTTCCATCTGTTGGAAGTCTATCACACAAGCTATCCTTAATTACTGGCAAAGGAAAGTTATCATCAGGAGAATTTGCTCATACTATTTATGATAAAAGCGTGTTTTTCATATTTGTGTTGTTTGATCAAGCCATTAAGTCATGTTGCTGCTTAGGTATTTCTACTACTTTATCAAAACCAAAAAACTGAATCTCCTGGCATTTAAATCACTGCAAGGATCAATAATCATCTGGTAGACTTTTCTCCAGTTGAATACTTTCATTCCTCAGCACCTCTGAGGAACTCCCACCCTTGCAAAGAGAATCAGGAGTAGAAGAAGGCAAAGCTGTAATTATATCAGTCTCTGGATTTCTGTGAGCTCACCTGCCACGTGTGAGCAGATACTGATAAAGAAGCTGCAACATTTTCTCCTTTTTATTTAGAATTATGGAAGTAGCTGGCGAGAGTGTATGTCTACCATATCTATAATAATGGAGACACAGATACAGCAGACAATTGTAATATTACAGTGCTATTTCTCTCTGTGACTCCTGGGCACTCAGGAAAATACTTCAGGAGTTTCCAGGGTATGAAAATAAGTTTCAGGAAGAGTAAGAAGAAAAAAACATCAACCATCTACTGGTAAAGAAAAGTAACAGATACAAAAATTGAGTAGATTGTAATGTAATTTCAGTATTTAATGTAAATTCAGAATTTAAAGGGTTTTTTTCTGTTATTTTTGACATTTTATCTTTCTCAAAATAAACAATGCAACCCCACTTAAGATGCACATTCATTCTCTCTGAAACTATTTCCTCCTTGAGATTTTATCTCAGTAGAAATATGCTTACTGGCTGAAAGAGTAAAAGATTAAGCAACACACAAGTCCAGAAGGAAAAAAGAGCGCACCCAAGCCTATTTACAAACTTGCAAATAGATGTCACTAAAATAAAAACTAAGCAATGCTAGTGATAAAAAGCAGTTTTGTTTCACTGACTGCTGATTTAGGTAGAAAAATGCACACCCAGAGGGGAAATACTTCTCCTGTTATTATTAACCAAAGCACAGTAACATGCAGATACACACAAATATTTGAGTTGCCAATAAAAAGCACTTAAGAAACAAACTGAAGCAGTGTAGAAAAAAAATACAAATAGAGAGGTAAGAGACAGCTGGTGTTTACAATTAAAAACACTAAACATTTAGTGTCTCAAGAAGTCAGAAATTACCTTCAGAAGCAAACCCACAACTTTTTTCACAAAGAATTGCTTTCTATCCTACCCACTTTCAAATACAGAGGTGACCCACAAATAAAAAACTGGAGACAGAAAAGTAAAGTCCTTGTCCAAAGAATCATCAACTAAAGAGGTAAGGAAACAGAAAAGTTATTTTTTTAAGAGCTAAACTGCAGAGCAAAGACACAATGGTGTTTTAGAAAATCCATTAAAGGATACTGTGTGTACTAAAGACTGAACTCAGATTTCACCCCTTTCAAGTAGATAAAAAGTTTCCCCATGGCAGCAAACACCAGTAGAGGACATGTTTGAAGCAAGAGATAATTCCAGGATTATGGTTAAAAAAACCCCCCCAAACAAAAACAAACCCCACCACCTTTGTGTGTAAATAGCGTATTTCACCAATAATTTCAATTCAGTTTTTGCCAATATTGCTCTAATCCCTGAGAGGTGTCATTTCATGAAGACAAGCATCCAAAAGTACAGTCACAAGTGAGAGGCAGCTCATTATGGACTCCTGTTACACAGGACTCTCCCAAGTCTGAACTATGGCTCCTGACTGAATCATAACATACTTGACTTGCATCTATCTGTCTCAAAATCTGACACACAAAAATACTGCACATGAGAGTAAACAATACATTTCCAGACTATAATTTCAGATATGAATAGTCTTTCTTGTGTCCAAGAGATTAATTTCCTCTTTGCTTACATATTTCTGTATAGATGCCTGAACCTGTACAGCTCTCTTTCATATGACGAGCTAAAAAACCAAAATACAGCAGTAACCAAAAGCTCCAATATACTTGTGCTTCAAAAGATGTTAAACCTTCAGCTGCACTGCAGTAAATGAAGAGGTCTTTGCTGTTAGGCAGACAGAACTAGAAATGAAAGAGAAGTCAATAGAAGTTCTAGTATTTATTTATCTACTCTTTAACATACCAAAAACATTTGCTTAATTTCTTGGAACTTGTGGGATGGATGAGCCTAATTACTGGTTTTATAAACAAACACAACTTCTGATATGAAAACAAAAACATTATCAGGAAAAAACCACCCAAAACATTTCTCAGAAAACGGAAGAACACTGAAAGAAACTTGCTTGATCTGAAATAAGGATTCTTCTCTCTATGACAACATTTGTTTAGTAGACCAGGGCTGCTTTCTCCCACCTCCCTCTTTGCTATATCCAAGTGCTTTGACTCTTGCTTTTACACATAAAGGCACAAGCAATACTTAGAAATCAGAAGACTTGTTTTTTTAGTCGTTTGTCATAACATTCAGGAAAGCTAGCACATACACAAAGTCATTTTCACTAGTAGCACTGTCAGACGTCTGACCAGAGAGACTGAATACTTTCCTTGGAAGTTTCCTTGACTCGATGGATCACAGCCCTGGGGAACCCCATCTGAACTCAGTGTTGGATGTGTTTTCTGCAGGAATTTGTACCAGATGACCTTAGGAGGTCCTGTCTGAATTACTCTATCAAAGTGCAGCCCTTGGCTCCTTCAGAAAGCCTCTCTACATATCTCCAGAGCAGCACAGCAGCAGATTGTGCTGGCTACAATTCCTGGATCACAATGAGTATTCCACTGGAATTTCATTTTTCTTCACAATTGCCTTTCTAGATCCACCTATTGTTTCTTAAATCCTGTGAGATCTTTCAAGTTTCCTTTTGTTCTTCATTTGCCTGTCTGCACTGGCAGTCCTGGATTTTTAGCTAAAGCTTCCAGAAATTACAACAGAAATAAAATAAAAACTAAAGTAAAAACTAAGAAAATTATTGAATATTAAGTTCCAGTTTAATGACTGAAAAGTAAAGATTCACCTGAATGACAACAACATTTTTTAGTTTCCTAGTAGTTAGGAAAAACAAATAGAAAGACTAAAACCTAATGCAATTCACCAAATAGACATAGCAGGTCTATATATGCTTCCTAGATTATTGAAATGCTTGTGAATAAAATGCCTGTAGGAGAATGTGGAAGAAAAAAACCCCAACAAAATAAAATTTAATTTTTAAGATACTAACTAGATTTATACTGTTAAGAGGAAGGAAGGGAATAATTTCAAATCACCAGTATTCAGATAGTGCAATTGACAAGGGAAACAGCTATTAGATTCTACTAGAGAGAGAGGAGAAAAATCTTCTTACTAAATTTGGTATCTATTTAATGCAGATATTCTCTTAGTTACTAGTTACACTTTGCCAAGATAAACACAGGCATAATTCACCAACTAAAATCTCAGAGTAGCTTGTGGCATATCCTTTACCTGACATGCCAAGATGGAAAAAGCAGCCAGAGCTGCCTGCATCACTTTCCAGTTACCTGTTCTCACTGTCACACTGTTCCTTTTACTGCTGTGCTAAAGCCTGCTTGTAGTTCTGCAGGCGAGCTGTGGACACTGGTGGGCTGTTGTAAGAGAACCGAAGGAGCAGGAGTTGGGAGAGGCAGGAGAAACACGCAACCTGAATAACCTGAGGAATCCTCCCCGCTCCAATCCCCAGGCTGCTTACGAGGTCACTCCGAGGAGCTTCCTGGTAGTCTGCAGAGAAGCAGGAGAGGGAAGAGCTCCTGGCGGTGCTGCTGTCGGCGGCCGGCCGCGGGGGCTGCGCGTACTGCCTGAACGTGGCGCTCTTGGGAGTCCAGCGGAACAGGTTGATCGACTCGCGAACGCAACGCTCAATGTCGATCTCTGGAAGGGATTTCAAGGAAAAGCAAGAAATTTAAGAGCAAAATACCAGTAAAGCCAAGTAACCCAGCTATGACATTGCTAAATATACATACACCCACCTATACCTTTGTCTGTCTTTCTGTCCCTTGCTCAAAGCAAATGTAGATTTCAAAAGCGTTTTCCCGTTCAAAAAGAAAAACACTCAAAAGGTTTTTTATTAAAAAAAAAAACAACTCAGGAGCTTTTTTTTATTAAAAAAAACACATCAGGAGCTTTTTAACTAAAAAATAAAGACATTTTAATGATTAATTTGATCTGTTTAAGCGAAGCATATCAGAACTTTAACCAGTGCAAAGTCAGGACAGTAATTGAAACCTAGTCGTTGTAAGGCATTGTAAAATCTTTACAAGTTAAACTATTGACTAATCAATGTAAATTTGTGCAGTTCATCAAAAGTAGATCTCATACAGTGTACAGAGATCAGGATCAAGTAAGTGTCTTATTTCTCAGTTAAATCCTACTAACAGTCAGATTGAAAGCTTTCATCTACTGAATTTTGCATCCCTGCCATTTTAACAAAGCTACATGTTATCTTTTTGCTGAAAAGCAGGGGTTTTTAACATTAATTTGTGCTTGATGGCAAACATAATGGATTGTTTTAGAGATTTTAGAGAATTTTTTTAAACAAAAAAACAAACAAGTAATACAGTCCTAAACCCAACCAGACATTCCCAATGAAACATCCCAGCTGAAAGAGTGAAGTGCCAATGTGATAATATATTACTCAACTTGAAAAGAAAACTGACACCTATCAAATGACAAGCACCCTAAAATAAGATGTGGTCAATTAAAAAGCAGGAAGCTACACTGCAACAGGTAGGTAAAAGAGTAAACCTGTTGGAAATATATTTTTTGCAACACTAAGCATCCTACCCGTATATATCTTCTAACAAGATGTAACATAAAAGCTTTTACCACTATAAAAGGACTAGTTTTGCACCTCCTGTATGTGGTCTCATGAAGAGCAAAAACAATCCTAGCTTGCATTTCATGACAAAACTGGTGTAGTGAGACAGACAAACAGCAGGGATATCAGCACTTTTTGTGTCTGTGCCAAGATCTTGTATGATTCATTACAACAGTCAAAATTTAGATTAAAGCATCAACTTCTATGAAGAAAACAGAGGCATCGTAGCCAGGCTTTATCTGTAGATCTCAAACAGATTTGATGCACTGCCATCAATCACTCATTGCCATCAGCAGATTTGATGCCTTGCCATCAATCTGGGAGCTACTCCAGAAACCTCAGTCATGAGCAGGGTGATGAGCAGAAGAAGCTGAATTTGAAGCTTGGGGCAGAATAATCTAGTTGGAAGAGATTATTGACTGTTTAAAATCTGGCAGATGTGATCTATTACTCTCCCAGTCACAAAGCTGTCCGTATTCAGGTAGGATACAATCTGCAGCAGATGCTTTAATTCCATTAATGACAAGATGCTTATGTGCTATCTTGCTTCTAAAATTCTTAAAATCTGAGAGTAGAGCTGTGGCTTACCCAATTTTAATTCTAGCTCTAAAAACCTTTCTGTGGGTGTGTAAAAGTAAATTGCAATTTTCCTTGACAATATCAGGTTCCCTAGCTGCTTGGGATAATAGGTGTCACAGATAAATGGACTACGTGATGTCTCAACAGTAGCTAACAATTTCTCATTTCAACTATACTGCAATAGAAGGCTGTTACTCAGCATCATTCCCAAGGAAAATACACACAACTGGAAAATTTCACACAATCTCTTAATTCAGGTAAAGAGAGGAAATGCCTTCCACTGTTCATTTTTCCTCAAGCTCAGAAAACACCCAAAACCACCACCATTACAGTTGCACTTTTTTCTACATTTCTGAAAACTCATTTTATTTATAAAAAGTTGAGAATTTCAGTGCAAGGCTGTAGTACATTCATAGTGGGGCCGTGGTTTCTTTTTTTGTTTTGGTTTAATTTTTTTTTTTTTTAAAGAGACTGCTGTAATTGAGTTATAAGACCCATTTTCCTTAGCAATTCTTAGCTAAGGAAACATTAGTAGTACTTCTATAATAAATGATATGAATGCCGAATTTAGCTAGTAAAAAAAAAAAAGGAAAAACAATAATTAATAGCATGAGGAGCATTTGGCTGTGAGAGGGCATAATAGCCAACATATATCTGAAATTGAAAACAGAACTGGGGGATGGAATAGGAACACTGTTTGCAGTAAAGCGATGAAAAAGCTGAAAGGAGAAATTGAGACTGACAGTGTTAAACACTGAAACAGGTCAAAATATTTTTCCTAGAAACAAGCTCTGTAATTTCAAAAGAAATCAATTTCAGAGAACTGGAAAAAGGCTTGGCCACTGCAACAGGCTTCCCAGGGGAGTGGTCATAGCACCAAAGTTGACAGAGTTCAAGAAGCATTTGGACAATGCTCTCAGGCACATGGTGTGACTCTTGGGGTTCCTGTGCAGGGCCAGGAGATGGACTCAGTGATCCTTTTGATCCCTCCCAACTGTGTGCATGTTTGTAAAAAACATAACCAGTTCTCACACATCAGGGTGTAAGTAAAAATGTAGGAGTCTGTTGTTCTGTGGTTTTGGAATGCTTGGTTTCTCATTTCTTCCAAGTAGCACTTCAGGAGGACAGTGGGCATGGCTGAAAATGAAACTCCACAGAACAAGAGAGAATTTTCAGTGGTTTGTGGGGGAAGCCATCAAAAGCCTAAAACAAATTTACAGGCTGTCAATTAATTCATCTGCTTCTCAGTAATGCAAAATAAAAACTACAACAAGGCAATTCTGTTTTCCACAAGTAACAATAAAAAAGCCTCACAACCACAAAATACCCCCCAACAATGTGCAAATCATAGGCACATGCATGCATATAATGTGGGAATAGTCAACATCTAGCACCCACAAGGGAGACAAGAATATGGCTGGTGAAAGAATTCACTCAAAGAATTTACTCACATTCTTTTGAAAAAAACCCAATTACTTTCGGGATACTGGAGTTTAAGACTACATTAAACTGGTATAAATATTTACAGAATATTTATTAGTCACGTTGGATGAACAGGCTTCACACTTGAGCAACCTTCAAGCCCTTCTTCTTCATTTGTTTGCAATTGCAGTTTAAGAAAAATCACTTCCCGTCAGTAACTAAAATGCAATTCAATCTCATGCGCCCTTGCTGGATAAGATCTTTTCTCCTCTTTTTGGCTAATAAGTAAGGGTCTGCAACCTACTTCAATCCCAATTTCTTCCCATGCCCTTTCAAATATATGACAAATTAGTCAGTCTCTGGTGAAATGTCCATTTTCTGTTATCTCCCCAAGACTTTGCATTCACACAGCATTAATCCTGCCTGTACTCTTCCTGCTCCCAAGCCACTGCACTACAAGCCAGAAAACATTAGAGCTTCCACATTATTAGAAACATACCATTGGTATGTCAGAAGCATAAATATATCAAGTCAGAGCCTAGATTCTTGAACAGGACTATAAACAAATGAACAGAGACTACTTCAGCAGAATGCCAGAGCGCTTGACACTTGCAAACAACTTAGAGGAACACTCTTCTGAGAGCAGGGTCTGCATAAATCTCCAGGTGTAAGCAACAAATGAAAGTAACATTCAGAAAGGATGAAGAGGGCATGCTCACTCATGGAGATGTATATGTAATGTCTCAGTGCTCTCCAAGATGCCCACAGTGGGGTATTTTATAGTTTAAAAACTATGTACCTTCTGTTTCTATTAAGACAAATTATTTCCTTGGAAAATCTGTAATGAAAATGTGCTGAATAACATAGTGTCATTAAATATGAAGTGTGAAAAAAATTTAAGCCTGACTTAAAACATAATAAAAATACTACAAAAATAAGTTATAATTTCAAAACTTAGTACATCTTCAAACTGGTTTTGAAAAATTGCAGAGCACCTGTATTTCAAAAAGTCAAAGCTGGAACCCAAGTATCTTAGGAACCAAAGTCATAATTTCATTTTCAAACACTATATTTAGGAGGTCTTGCTCAAATGAGCTCAAGTATTTCACAGTCAAGCAGCAACCAAGCCTTACAGGAAACAATTCTATGGAAGCAGCTAATTGCTCAGCATCAAAAGGCTGTCTCTGACGTTTCTAAATATGCAAATAATATAGCAACAGATAAAGACAGGAGTAGAGAAGGGAAAGAAAAGTGATCTAACAGCAGCACCTTGGTTTTGCCATGGCCCTATCCTAACATTAAGCCTACTGAAATGTTTTGCTCCTTTTCTGAACTAAACTTGTTTATTCTAAGATGTTTTTCATTTTGCTTTTATGCTAAACTGTAACTTCTTACCAAGCTGCTGCCTGCCTCTATCCACAGCCTCAACTGAAAAGGACAGCTCAGACTGACATAGCTGCTTTTTAAGCTATGCAAGTTTATCATTATAGATACAGGAGAGAAGTAGATTGCACTTGAAACAGATGTTGAAAAAAGCATCAGTTTAAGTGCAATACACCTGTGACAAAAGCACACAGAATGTTTTATTTTTATAGGAAAACCGGGTGTGCATATGTTGTTCACAGCAAGTGAAGGCAAGCATTGGAGAAAAATGTAAGACAAATGGTTCTTTCCTAATGAAAATCTACACAGACCAAGTCTTTGTGTGCAGTTAATCAATTCCAGAGCCTTTTCCTTGGGTAACAGGATACCAGTTAAGAAACTCAGCCAAAATAAACTGCTTCTGCATTTTGGGAATAGACCAGAATTGTGAGTGTGGTTTGACATCTCCATCACAAATACTTTATTACTACCCTGCCAGGCAACATCAGCTTTCACCACACAGCCACATAAATAGGTCAGAAACTCACTGTGCTATGAATGCTCTGGTACTGAATAGGTCAGTCAGTTCAACCTCCTGATTCTTGCTCTTAGAAGAAATAGAGGTGAAAGGCCATAAACTCTTTTTTCCTGATGACATACAGAAGAATGTGCATATTTAAAAGGACAAA